CTCGTCCTCCAAGCGCTGGAGTCTTTCTAACACTGCTTTGAATTGTTCCTCCATTGTGGAGCTCGTCGAGGTCGTCGTCGATCTCCTTCTTGAGGCGCTTCAGGTTCAAAGCCCTCTGCTCCTCTGTGGTTGGCTGCTCGCCCGCTGCGTGTCGTCGCAGCGCCGAGCCTCGTAGTTGTCGGTTGGACCTCGACTCTGCAGATCGAAGTCTCTGTTTGCCCATGCACAGAGGAGCCCAGCCGAACCTGAGACCACGGAGCTACCCGCTTGTCTCAGATCTGACCAGGCTCCGCTACCATGTTGAGGGAGTATTGTTTTTACTCCCTTGCGCTCTTGAGCCAAAGCGTTTCCGGTCAGTCTCTCTGCCGATCGGCCGTGCTGCATGCAATGCTACACCCAACTGTTATCCCACTTCATGGGATTGATGCTTCTGCTACGCTACATGCTACCTTCCTTACCGGGGCAAGGGTTTAACCCGAACAGCGTGGGACACGTAAAAATCCGCCGACCCTGTCGGCGTGTGTGAGGGGCTTTTCCGTTCGAACCGTCATCTCCGTCATTCTTTGTAATCGTCGTCTCTGTCGTTCCTTTTCCCTGGTACCCCTCTTCCCCTGGGCTCCTCCCCGCTCCCCTCGCCCTTTCCCAGGGCCTCCTCCTCAAGCGCGCTAGCCAAACCGACCTTCAGCAACGTCGTAATTGATTCGAAGGGAAGCCCCTTCCCTTTCCCTTCCCCGACGGGGGGGGGAGGGGGGGTCCCGGGGGGGTCCCGGGTCAGATACGACGGCCCCCCCGTACCGACCTTGAGCAACGTCGTAATTGAGTCGAAGGGAAGCCCCTTCCCTTTCCCTTCCCCGACGGGGGGGGGAGGGGGGGTCCCGGGGGGGGTCCCGGGGGAGTCCCGGGTCAGATACGACGCCCCCCCCCCGTACCGACCTTGAGCAACGTCGTAATTGAGTCGAAGGGAAGCCCCTTCCCTTTCCCTTCCCCGACGGGGGGGGGAGGGGGGGTCCCGGGGGGGGTCCCGGGGGAGTCCCGGGTCAGATACGACGCCCCCCCCCCGTACCGACCTTGAGCAACGTCGTAATTGAGTCGAAGGGAAGCCCCTTCCCTTTCCCTTCCCCGACGGGGGGGGGAGGGGGGGTCCCGGGGGGGGTCCCGGGGGAGTCCCGGGGAAGTCCCGGGTCAGATACGACACCTCCCTCCCCCACCTTCTCGTCCTTCTCCCCGTTCCCCAAAACCATCCCACAGCCCGTGCCTCTTGCTGCGCATTGCGAACAGGGTCGGCGGCACCGGCCGTAAGGCCTTCGCAATATATTAGATTCGCGCCCCCGAGGCCACGCAATGCTCGCGTCCCCGAAGCCACAAACCCTTGTAAATTATACAATGCTTGCGCAGCCGAGGCATCAAACCTTTGCAACTTACTCCATATTCGCGTCCCCGAAGCCATAATCTCTGGTACATCATATAAGATTCGCGTCCCTGAGGCCACAAACTTAAGCAAATTCTAATATGCTTGCATACCCGAGGCAATAAACCCTCGCACGTTACGCAATCTTCGCGTCCCCGAGGCCATAAACCCTCGCAAACCATGCCATATTCGCATTGCCGAGGCCAAGAGTGATCCAAGGTGCCCGAGCATGGTTCCAAGACGGCCAACGAGGGCCCCAAGAGGTCCCAAGAGGCTTCCCCAAGAGGCCCAAATCGCCGATGTTACGAAGGTGTTGGGAGGATGTTGGTTTTCTCGCATTTTCAGCTTCCCGACGCTCCAAAATGGCTCAAGAAGCTCCCAAGACCGCCCCAAAACAGCCCAGGACGCCTCCAAGAGTGCCCCAAGACGGCCCAAGAGGGCTCCAAGATGGCCCAAGAAGCGCTCCGAGAAGCCCCCCGGGAGGCCCCGAGCGGCCGCCAAGAGGTCCCAAGAGGCCCCAAGAGGCGCCCAAGACGCGCCCAAGCAGTCTCCAAGAGGCCAACAAAAATACCCCACGAGGCCCCAAGAGGCCTCCGAGAGGAACCCAAACCGCCTCCAAGAGGCTCCCGAGAGGCCCCCCACGACACCACAACACATATACAAGAGGCCTCAGACCCAAAACCCAGGCAAGGTGGCGGGATGGGCCGAAGGCCACTAGGATCCGCCGCCCCCTGTCGATTCATCGCAGGGGTGCCTGGCGTGCCAGATCCTCTCGGTTTTGGTTTTGGTTATTTTTGGCAGAAGAACTCCCCCTGGGGCTTCGGCCCGTCCCGCCGGGGTCCTGGAAGGATTGTCCAGGACCGCAAACGACCTCAACGTCCGCAAAACATTCTCCAGGATGGCTCAAGATGGCCTCCAAGACGGCCAAGATGGCCCTCAAGCTCGCCCAAGATGGTCCAAGATGGCCTCCCAGACGGCCCAAGAAGGTCCAAGATACCTCCAAGTTCGCCCAAGAAGCCTCCAATACGGCCCAAGAAAGCTTAAGAGGCCTCCAAAAGGTCCTCCAGGAGGATCCGAAGAGGCCAAAACCGTTGATTTTCCATAGGGTGTTGAAGGATTTTGGCATTCGCTTCTTCTCGGCATTCCGACGGCTCAAGACGGCCCAAGAGGCCCCCAAGATCGCCGCAAGATCGGCCACGAGGCCTCCAAGATCGCCCAAGAGACCTCTAAGATGGCCCTGGGACTGCCCAAGACGCCCCCAAGACGGCCCCAAGAGGGCACAAACACGACCCAAGAGGCCTCTAAGACGCCCAAGATGGCCTCCAAGACGGCCCTGGAGCACCCCAAGAGGGCCCCGAGTCGGCGCAGAGAGGCCCCCCTAACGGCTTCCGCCGGCGTCAGACGGGCCAGGAGCCCACCAAGATGGCCGAAGTTGGCTCGAAGCTGACCCAAGACTGCCCAAGAAGCCTCCAAGAGGACCTCCAGGAAGGCCAGAAAAGGCCAAAAACACTCATGGTCCCTCGGTGTTCAAAGGAATTTGGCATGTGCTTCGTTTCGGCCTTCCGACGGCCCGACACGGCCCAAGAGCCCTCAAAGATCGCCCAAAGATCGCCCAAGAGACCTCCAAGATGGCCACATAACTGCCCAAGAGGCTCCCAAGACGGCCCCAAGAGGCCCCCAAGACGGCCCAGGAGGCCTTTTAAGAAGCCCAAGATGGCCTCCAAGACGGCCCTGGAGCAGTCCAAGAGGGCCCCGAGTCGGCGCAGAGAGGCCCCCCAAATGGCTTCCGACGGCGCCAGACGGGCCAGAAGCCCACCAGTGCGGCCGAAGATGGCCCTAAGATGGCCCAAGACGGCCCAAGAGGCCTCCAAGAGGGCGACCGAGTGTTTGAAGGATTGTGGCATTTGCTGTTTGTTCGGCCTTCCGACGGCCCGAGACGGCCCAAGTGCCCCCAAAGATCGCCCAAGAGGCCCAAGACGGCCCCAAGAGGCCCCCAAGGCGGCCCAAGAGGCCTCCAAGACGCTCAAGATGGCCTCCAAGACGGCCCAAGAGCCCTTCAAGACGCCTCCGAGAAGGCCCCGAAGGGTCAAATGGCCTCCAGACGGCCAAGATGACCTTCAAGATGCCCACGTGTTCCCCGAAGGCTTTCCAAACCGATTCGGGGAACACATAGCTTGGCAGGTCTGGTTTCAACGTTCGGCCACATAGGCGCTTCCACAAAGGCAGGGGGCGGCGGTGACTCGCTGTAGGCGTCTTCGATAAGGCCAGTGTCTCAATATGCGCTGGCGATTCCTATCCGCCCCCGCATGGTGTTCCCAAATGCGCCAAGGCAGCGCCGAGACGCACCGAACCGATTCTGATGTGTCCCATTATGATAGAGAAGGGGCTGGCGGCAGGGGGCGACGCCCTTACGGTAACTGTAGACATGTCTACATGCATACATACATGTACATGTACATATATATATATATATATATATATATATATATATATATATATATACACACCTGTGCATACATATGAAAAAAAAGAGAAAGAGAGAGAGAGAGAGTAACAGAGAGAGGAGTAGAGATAGTGGTAGAGAGGGGGAGAGTGAGAACGAGTGAGGAGTGAGAGCGAAAGAGACAAGAGGGATGACAAACAACAACACAGATAAGCTATAATTTAGGAGGTAGGAGGCATAATGAGGGCGAGGAGAAGGGAGAGCGAGGGCACCGAGGCTTGACCTGGATCGCCGGCAGCGGCGACGACAGGAGGGAGATAATGGAGGAGGGATGGAAGAGAACAGGAGCAGGAGGAGGAGGTAGGAGGAGTACGAGGAGGAAGAGAAGGGGAGAGGAAGAGGAGGACGAGGAGGGATGAGGAGGGGAAAAAGGAGGGAGGACATTGAAATGTGTGTTGTTGTTTGCCACCTGGGGGTGCCTCCTATCCTCCGTGATTTTTCCTAACTCATAGTTCATCCTTCCTGACCAACCCTCCTCCCGTTCGCTGGTCGCGGGGATGGCGCCTCCACCTGTTCTCAGGGGGCGGCCCTGAGTGGACGCCCGGCAAATCCACAACATCTAGCGCGACCTTCAAGCAATATGGAAGCACAAGAGAAACCATCGACAGCCAAACGTAGCCTAAATCATCCAAAGTCGGCATCCTGTTAAGGCCTGTCCTGGGACCCCATCTCCCCCATTCTCCTGGGGCCCGCCTCCTTCTTACCTCCTGCCTCATCTTCTTCATCCTTCGCAAACCAGTCCTCCTTGCGCACTTCCTCCCTGGTCCCCCCTGCGGGCGCGGCGGGGGAAGGGGAGCCAGGAGGGGAAAGGGGCGAGGACGAGGAGGCGGGGGCCGACGGCAAACGAGGGCGAAGGCGAGGTGAAGGGGGGGAGGAGGGGAAAGGGGGGGGGCAGGTGCAGCACTGCGTAGGGGGGAACACCGCAAAGGGCGGACGCCACCACAGGAACAGCAGGGGGTCGCGAGGGGGGCGGCGAGAGGGCGGGGGGGAGCCTCGGGCGGTAGGTTGTCCCCTCTGGGGCGGCGGCGGCGGCGGCTAGCAGAGGCCGCCCGACGGCTGGCGGGGCATCGGGACGGCGGCGGGGCGCGCGTGGAGATGTTGTGGATCTGCGTGCCGATTGGAACGTTGTCGAGGGGCATGGCGTTGCCTGGCCCCCGCCCCACCCCCCGCTTGACAGAGGAAAGCAAGGGGGAGGGAGGGGGGAACGGGCGGAGGGATGAGGAGGAACGGGGAGGGGGCGGGAGGGGGAGGGGGCAACGGGAGGGGGACGTGGAGAGGGAAAGAGAAGGGTGGGGAGGTGGAGGTGGGAAAGGGCAGGGAGTATGGGGAGGGGAGAAGGGGGATTTGTGGACATCGGCGCGGGCTGGTCCAAGAACGGGTGCACATAATACATCAAAACCTTGTTGTTTGTCCTTCCTGTGCCAACTTTGCGATATTCACTCCCTGCATGATCAGACGAAGGATGCCCCGGACTCTGGAAGCAGGTATGGGAAGAGTATGCCAAAGAGCATCGTCGTCGATCGGGAGATTACGCCTAAGCCTGAGGAGGGTGTTACAAGTGATGGCGGGGCGGAAGAGCAAAAGGCGTCGCCGCGCTTCTTTGCCCCTCACCTCTGCCATGTTTTCCCCGCTCGGACATCGAGCCTTGAAACAAGCAGTGCGAATCTATAACTGGCACGGGGACGGTGTTGCCACGTCCCCGCGCTGCTGAAGCGAATTGGTGCCGACAGAATGCGCCAATATTATGCCGAATCTTCTTGCCTAGTCGCTACTGTGCATCACCGGGGCCACGCAATGCCACCCCATGCCGGGCCCCGTGCACCGCTCAGCCCAGCAGAAACCGCATTGCACACGAGATGCGATTCATTCCCCGCCCGAACCCTGCCAAGCAAGGCCCAATCAACAGATATATTGTCCGGTTGGGTCCCGCAGCGAGCGCCCCCATCGACGCGGGCCGTGGGGGGCCCTAGCGCAAGCGAGGCCACATTCGCGGATTTGTCTGGTTGGAACCCCGCAGCGAGCGCTCCCAGCGACGCAGAACGCGGGGACCTGTAGCCCAAGCGAGGCCACATAGGCGGATTCATTGTCTGTCTGGACCTCGCAGCGAGCGCCCCCATCAACGCAGACGCCGGGCGCCCCATAATCAGCCCGTCCTGCGAACGCGGCTCAAACCAAGGAAACAAAATCAATATGGGCAAATACCGCCGGGGATTCTGGTCCGACGCGGCCTCTGACCCGCGAACAACCAGAGCTCCCTGCAGGCGCTCCTCCTTCGGGGCCCTGCGCTGCGGGGCGCGCGCGGGGCCTCCGACGACCCCGATCGCGCCCCTCATCGGAAGACATGCCCCGCAGCTCGATCGGGGCGCAAGGGGCCCTCGGGAGCTCCGACGCTGCCCGCGCTCAGAGGCCCCGCAGGCCTTCGCCGCGCGGTCGGGCACCTTGCTCTCGGCGAGCCCCCCGTCGGCGCGCATCGGGGCCGTCTCCGCGCTGATCAGCCCCAGCATGCCGCGCTCGACTCGGCCGCGACTGGCGCTGTCCTTCGTCATGGGGCCCCTCGTCCTTCAACTGCCGCGGCCCTCGGCGATGTGGTTCGCCGCTTGGTTGTCGCCGCGGAGGACCGCGGTGTTCTGCGGCCCCATGGACTGGGCGCCCGCCCCCAGCCAGTTGAGCACCTGGCAGCTGAAGGCCAGGCCGCTCATCTCCGCCTCGACCGTCAAGAAAAGGACCAGCGGCGGTCTGGAGCGGCGCCAGCCTACCAATATGCGCTCGCATCTGAAACATGCGACGCCTGTCCGCTCACCCGCGTCGCCGTGGCTGGCATCCGAGAGCGCGCCCAGCTCGCAGATGAAATCGCGCAAATCGAGGGGGGTGCTGAGCACGCGAACGAGCACCAACTGGCGGGCTGCCACCAAGCACCGAAACACCTCCTCGCCCAGAACGAGGGGCGCACGCGGCCCCCGAGTCGCATGGCTCGAGGTCCGCGGCGCGCTGTAGGAGAAGCCTGATCGGGCCCCGCTCGCGTGCCAAAGGGGTCCACCTGGGCGCCAAAACGGACCCGGGAGGCGCGCTGCGCTCGAGTCTGAGGTAGTCACATGAGCACGGCGAGGACGAGCACCCGTCGAAGTACGTGCACGGGCTGTGGGGGGAGCTCAATGCGGCTTGGCGCGAGCAGTTGCGGGAGAAGCGCCGGGCGCTTTGTCTCCCCCTCGGCACCCAGCACCCCAGGGGGGAGGACCTGAAGCTGCGCGCGCTGGCCCCCGCGGGCCCTGGCGGCCAGGCAGCTCTCAAGTTCCCGAACGTCTTCGACTTGGACGACCCTGGCGGCTACTACCAGATCGTCTGCATCCCCCGGAACGAGCGGAAGTTGCGCAATCTCTTCAATCGCAGCTTGCACGGCCCGGGCCCGAAGGGCCCGACCCGTGCTGGGGGCGCCGAGGGGGGCGAGGGGCAGGGCGCCGGGCGACTCCCAGGCGCGCGCTTCCCGCCGCCAGAGGCAGGCGAGAAGGCGGGCGCCGGGAGACGGCCCAAGATGCCGAAGACGCCCGCAGGTGGGGCGCCGTCCAAGAAGCCCTACCCTGCGGGGAAGAGGCTCGCCGCAGGGGGGATCGCTCAATCGGCGCGGCGCGCCCCCGGCAACCGAGCAGGCAAGATCCCGCGCTGGGATGCGTGCGCGTGGATCGGCTGCCGCCCCAAGACCAACCAAACATGCGCACGTGCGCACGAGGCCATCAAGGGCATGGGGGGCCTGCGCCGGGCCGCGCAAGCACAGCTGGCCAAGCGCCGACGCCTGAAGTCCGGGGCCCGCGTGGAGCCGAAGGACTTGGACGGACGCGCGCAGCAACTGCGCGCGCGGGCCAAGAGCGAGGACGAGTCCAAGCGAGCTGGGGCCGCCCAGGTGCAGGCGGGAGCCGCGCCGGCGCAACCCAAGGCCGCAGCGGGGGCCCCGCCGAATCGCGAGGGCTGCGCCGGCCCAGAGGTCGACTGGAACGCGCCGACGGCCTTTGACGAGATCCAGTGCACCGCGATGGGAACGACTTGAGGGAGGCAGTACAGGGGCCAGACCACTCTTGGCTCCTCGACACCCATGCGGACTCCCCCTGGGTGCACAGCACCAGCCCCTGCGACCGCCCCGAGGCCGTCAAGCGACCGCCCCTGATCGACGAGGCGCAGAACAGCGGCGTGCTTGACAAGCTCCAGGAGACCAGCGACTACCTCAAGTCCCACGTCCTGGCTCGGCTGACCCAGGCCAAAGCAGAGGGGGCCATGCTCGAACTGGAGCAGGCGCTGCTGGAAGCCACCAGCGATGGAGGAACCGCTCTCGCGGAGGAGGCAGGCGCGGTGCAAGACAGGATAGGCGCCAAAGCAGGCAACCTAGGCGGGGAGCCCGACGCGGTGATCAGCCCTGCGGCCTGGGACGAATCCGCGAGACTGGCACGGAGATCGTGGAGCTACTCGGCCAGACGTGGCGGCTTTGAAACTACCAGGACAAGCTACCCTTGGAGCTGGAGCTCGCAGCACGCCTGGGGCCCCCAGCCGACGCCCGCGAGGATTGGTTCCACATCTGGCAGGCGCGCTCTTGGGCGAGCACGGCCACGACCCGTCCATCGCCGGGGTGCGCGAGAGTTCGCCTCGGTCCTTCGCCGGTCCCTCTTGGACCAGGCGACGACCGCCACCGCTGCGCTGGGCGACCCGCCGCCCTTCGTCTCCCCGCGGGAGGCGGAGCTGAGGATGTTCTGTCATGATGCACTGATGCCCCATCATGACAAGGATTTCCGATGCATCACGCTGTTCACCCTCCCAGAGCTCCAGGGCGTGTCACTCCGCGTTTGGAGGGTGAACCACTGGAACCAGCTTAGCCTGGACACCCTCCTGCCACAGAAGGTCGGGCAGCGCGAGCTCCACGTAATGATTCACAAGGGGCGCATGCGCATGCTCCGACCCCCGCCCGGGGTCGACGGGCGGCAAGCCATCGGGTTGGTGATCAACACCTGGGCCTTGGCCGGGATGGAGTTGCGAGAACGACTCACGACCGGCTGGGACATGCACCTGGAGACCGAGGACGCGGCCGGCCCCGTCATCCCCAGCCGCCCCCCGCTTTGCGCGCACTGCAACCGCCAGCAGGCGGCGGCGTGCGAGATCAGGGAAGGCGCAGGCGGCGATGCTCCGACGACAGCAGAGGAGGGGGATTTTGACTTTCAGCAGCTGGTGCCCCTGCTACGCCGACCCGCGTTCGCGCGGGGTGTCAGGGCGAGGGGGATCTTCGCCGGCGCCGGGCGCTGGTCAGCGGCGATGGCCGACGCTGGCTTCCTGGCGTCAAAGTCCGCGGACCTCTACGAGCAGCCACTCTCGCAGACAGGGCCGCGAGCAGACCGCGACGTGCTACGCCCAGGCGCGGGGGCGCACCCTGCTGGGCGCGGGCGCGGCGACGGGCCTGGAGGAGGCGAACGTCTGGCAGCTCGGGCCGCCGCGCATCGCCCACGCGGCTTGGAGGTTGACGAGCGGAGGGGCTCGAACATTCGAGGAGCCTGACGGCGACGGCACTGACCCGGAGGAGGTAGCTTCAAACGTCTGCACCGATTTCGCGGCCAACGACGCCGAGCGGCTCGACGTGAACGATCGGGAATGGCTCCTTGAATCCAGCTGCAGGGGCGGACGGCGCCCCAATATCTGGGACCGCAGGCGGACCAAGCTCCTCATCGAGAGGACTGGGGCGAAGATCATCACGATCGCGATGTGCGAGTGGGGCTTAGCACCCCCGGACCAGCCGAGCAAGAGGTACCGGATGCTGACGATGTGGCTCGTGAGCAGAGGCCTGTACCCGTGGGCCCTCGCCTTGGCGTGGAGGCGCTCGGGGCGCCACGAGCGCGCTCCCCTGGGGGGCCCCCTGCCGCGCGACATCCCCGACGAGCAGGCGGCCACTTTCAACGCCAAAAAAGAGGCCCCGCCCACCGAGGCGGAGCGCCGGGGCGTTCGAAGCCTCCTGAGCCGCATCACTTTGACAGGGACCAAGGCGCAGGGCCTCGGTGACGACAAGGAGTGGAGGCAACCAATCCTCGGGATTGAGCTGCTCACCTCAAGGCCCAGCCGAGTTATAACAGTTACCGTGGTTGTAAATTAGTTGTAACAGAGCTATAAGTTGCTATGAGC